TAAAGCCATAAGATAATAACTTGTACACACAAGTTAAAAAATATTTCCTCTTGGGGACTTTAGGAGCTCTGTAGCTAAGCTTGTCTATGTTGAAGAAAAACACTTAATATGGTTAAAATATAGCTATTGTTAGCTAAACACCTAATTAACAATTGGTGTGAATTATGTAGTTACTTAGGTGGCATTTATGCTAACATTAGCTTCCAGATGTAACCATCTAACGATAGAAGTAGATTAGCTAGCTAGCTTGAGTTTTGCTAACTTAAAATGTACCGGTATGTGCCGGTATGTCCTTTGATCTTAACGTACAAGGCTAGCGCGTAGCATATGTAAGTACCGGAAAGGAGAAAGCAGCTCGAGGTTCTGACCGAGGCTTGCTCAACTGTTATTGGAACACAGCAAAAAGGGGCGGGACTTAGTAAGGGTCAATTTTACCCAACTTACAGAGAATTCTTCTATTCTTTTGAATTGCACCTATATTGGGTTAGGGTTATCTTGGATATTGCATTACTGGGTTATCTTGTATATTGCATTACTATTACCTGTACGCATTTTACGCTGGTATGATTTCTTAACGCTAAACTACGCAAAAAGCTGGCGAAGCCAAGCAATACTCAAGTCCAACAGCAGGAGGCAGCAGCGACTAACCTACCAAAAGCAAAAGAAGAAGAAGAGTTTGACCAATCAGAGCACTGGATTTAACCTAAATATCAAGCGGGGAGGATGGATGATGATTGACAAGCGTAATGTCATTTTAATAGACTGCACATCAACCAGACCACGGATTTTATCCTCCTCACTGCGGCTCACTGGTTCCTCTACTGAGGACTGTCTCTAACTCCTTAGCAAAGGTAAATAAACGACTGGGGTGATGTGACAAGTTGAAGTTGTTAATTATTTAAAGTTAATAACAAGCTAGCTTGTTTGTTCACCGCAATTAGCAAAGTTACGTTACGTTACGTTATACTGTTTTAGCTTGTTAAACGTAGGTTTTTATAGTATTCATAATATTAATCATTATTGCAGGCAAACCTGTAACCGTAATGAGAGGAGCAGGTCATATCAGGATGAAAAAAAGAGAATGCATACGCAACAGAAATAAAGTAGAAAGTTACCTGGAGGTAAGTGTGCGCGTGTGTGTGTGTGTGCGTGTGTGTTGGCGCTGTGTAGCCTATAACCATATACATTACCATACATGTTCAAGCACGCTCAAGTATTGGCAGCAAAATGTCAAGAATATCAAAGTACTCTAAACACTGATTTATTGACATGTGCATTTTAAAGTTGTCAACACGATGCTAATCTTAATTTAGCTCTAGGTTTGGGTAGTTTTTAGTAGGTAACCTTAATAATTAATTAATTCTATACTATTATACTAATTAATTATCTGTCTCATATACTACTGTCAGCAAATATGACAAAAAATATTGTTGTAGCTTTAATCTATAACAATGCTATTTTATAGTTTTAT